GGGGCTCGTATGATTCTTGTTTAAGTAAATAAACCGAGCCCTAATATCTTTTTACCGCTAGTTTCCCTTTTTAGCTCTAGGGCCTCTCAGTTAGCTAGACTATAAATTTATCTTTATATACTAAGATTATTAGCTATAGATATTAATGAGTACTTGCCGTATAATACCTTAATATAATATAAATCACAGCTTGCAAATATTGGGATTAATCCTTTAAGCCTTATAGAAGGAACTAGTAAACTAGACGGTTCTAGGCTTCATATTAAGGCATATTACTGCCTTTGGCTTACTATATAATATCATATTACTAGTAGAAACTCAAGCCTATGGCTAGAACTTGTCCCAAAGATTAAAATTAGTACTAAGGAGATATAGTAAAACGGATCTTGCCTTAGGTAGCTAATCTCAGAGAACTGGGAGTTTATAGAGACTATATGATCCTAATAAAGAGAGATTAAAGGGATAGATATTAGTAGAGAAGGTAATTTGAGTAAGTCAGATAAGGAGGAGTAGGATAAGAAGTAGCCGGATAAGAGGGACTTATTAGAGCAGGAGGCCCAAGAGAAAAAGTAAATCTTTATTTAAGGATCTTGCTATATCTTTATCTTTATTATATAATTTACTTATAATTATACCTTCTTTCTTCCTTTACTTGAAAATGCCTCCTGGAAAGATTTCTGGCTTTCTCTCAAGGTGTCCTATATATAGGAATACTCTTAATAAGTCTGGCTAGTTCTAGTATAAGTAATATAGTACAGAAACCCCTCGTTTGCCTAATTCATATAATTTAAGACCTTAGTATTATAGTACTTCTCTAGTTAACCTTATAGTATCTTCCCCTGTATTCCAAAATACAAAAGAGACTATTATTGAGATTTTAGATAGTAATCCGGTATTCCCTATTAGTAGCTCCTATTATACGGCCTTCTTTTCTCCTCTTCTATTATTTAAGGAGCTCTTTACTAAGTTTTATTAAGCCCGGGCCGAGCCTAAGTAAGAAGCCTCCCTGATTAAGCAAGAGGAGGAGGAGGAGGCCTTTGTATTATATAATATATGGGCTACTAAACCATATCTAAATTACCCTAGTTAGATTGAATTAAGGCCAAGACCCTCTGGAGCGAGCGATTCAAGCCTACCCCCCCCTATACCTGCTACCTAATTATATAGGCCAAGAGTTATTTCTTATATAATAACTATAGCCGGTTCGTACTAAGCTTCTGCTACTGCTACTACTAGAAAAGAGCAGAAACGTCCGAATACTGGCTCCTTTACTCTCTCTTATTGTCCGTAATCCTAGATAGGAAAATCCAAGTTTAGGTCTCAAAGGGAGATTATATAATTAGCTCTTTTTAAAGTTTAAGGATATTATATCTAGCTATCTAATAAAGAGCTTAATCCTTCTTTTCTTATATCTTCTTAGTTCCGTATTCTTGGTATATATATACTTTCCTTACCTATTAATTATATAATACTTATATTATCTTAGGAAGTAATATTAAGTATAAGGTCTTTGGAATAAACCTCTTGAGACTTGGGTATTAGGATAATGACCTAATATAAGCCTTTATTATTAATGAGCTTGTAACGAGTATTCTAAGCAGAAAATATGGCCAAGTATATAGTCATATGAAGGAGCTAGTTCTCTAAACTGGGAAGTATAAGACTTGGATAGCTATAGCTTGGAAGGATAGAGATAATTCCTTTTTACGAGATTTGGAAAAGCTTTCTCCTGGGGAGATTCGTATAATAGGGGATCTTTTATCTTACTTAGTTATATTGGTTCAAAAGGATATTTATGAGTTCTAGGCTTATTTAATCCTATTTACTAAGGATAAAGACCTTATCCAGAAAAGCCTTTAATACTATTAAAGGAGATATAAGGCTATTCTTGTATTACCTGAGCTATCTAAGCTATTATATGGTAGAGGAAAGAAGTTACCTCTCTTGCCTTCCTCTCTAACCCCTCCTTTAATAGGATTTACTTCTTCCTAGTTAGGAGCCGTTAAAAAAGAGAAGTATCCGGTTTCGCAAAGCCGTATCTTATTATATAATCAAGTAGCCCAAGAAGTAAGTTCTTTTACCGAGCTATTCCTCTACTTTTAACTAATATTTATTTCTAGCCTGCCAAAGTGACTAAAGCCAAGTATATGAAAGTCGAGCCTGCTATTAAAGTAGAGCTCTCTTAACCTCTTCCGAGACTAGCGGTATGTTATATAATACTTATTTAATTTATATACTAATATTACTCTGAGAAGAAACCTTCTTCTAGCCAAGTTCTAGCCTTACTAAAAGAAGCTATCCCTCCTCCTCCCTAATCCGTACTTCCTGATTCCCCAGAGACTATATATTAACGTACGAATCGGTAATCTATAACCCTCAAGTATAAGAAGGTAGCTAAAGAGTATAAGAGTACCCTTCTTACCAAGCTTTAAGAGCTTAAGGACTTTATAGAGGAGGAAGATATAATTCAGGACTTGATAAGCCGTACTTTTGAGAAAAGAGGAAGCTTGAGTAATTATATATAGGAGCAAATATAATCTCTCTTGGGTCCAGGAGTATTTCGTCCAGGAGAATAAGCTAAGGAGTAAGTTAGGGCAGATTATACTCAGACTGAGAAGGATTAAGCTCTAGCTAAGGGAGAGATAGAGGGGGCTGTTCCGCTTACTCAGAGTATATTATACGGTGGAAGGATTAGAAAGATATCTATAAAAAAGGCTAAATAAGTTAAGTCTAAGGGTTTAAAGAAAGGAGGAAAGAATCTGAGAAAGAAATAAGGCTTCTTAACTTGGTTTAATACCAAGAGATTCTATACTTATTATATAATACTTTGGGACTAGATTAAATTCTCTTTTTCTTAGTTTTTAGGTATTTCCAAATTAAATTATAATTATAAGTAAAATTAAAAGAAGGCAAATATTAAGAGCTTAATATAATTTATTAGGTATTATATAAAAGCTAGGTAATCGTATGATATAATAAGAGTAGTCCTATCTATTTATTTGTAATAGAAGGAATACTCTGGCCAGGATAATGTCCAGGCTTTAAAACCCGGCCACTTCGTGTAATTTGAGGGGGTTTAGGCTGTCCTCTACTATTGCCCTCTCCTCTATTATTATTAATATCTCGAGTACTATATTGGGTCATATGACTATAACGAATATAGTTACTATATGCTCTATACCACTCTCCTCCAGGAACTCTTAAGCACTCCTCAAAAATGCCTTGACTATTTTGGTAAGTAGTATAAGGAGTTTGAGTATTAACTTGGCTACTAGATTACTTAGTACAGATTATATAAACTTAGGAGAAGTAACTTATACTCGTTGGGTCAAGATTGCATTAATAACCTCAGGGAGAAGTGGGACATTAAAGGTAGTAGCAGTATAGGGACCCTTAATTATAATATCTGAGGGTTCTGGATCATTAATATTAAAGGTACGCTTCTGCTGAGGGCTACTATTAATGACTGAGGGCTGGAGCTTATTCCCTCCTATATGAAGGAAGTACTGAATATTATTAGAGGCGTCTATACGAGTCCAGACGACTAGATCTTATTGAGCTTGGGCTGCCATTATATGTATGTAAAGTGTTATGTATAAAGTATGTATGAGGAGAGAGAGAGAGTGAGTGAGTATATATGTGTATGTGTATGTGTGTATATATATGTGAGGAAGTTAGAGGAAGGATTGGGAGCTGAGGGCCTATTTTATAGATATCTGGGGCCAAAAATGACTTAAATGGAAGCCTGAATAATTCAGATTAAGCTATAAATCAAGCTGTGAATCATATAGTTATTTGGTATAGTTCAGATGATGCAGGCAAAATAATTGGCTAGGGCCCTAGAAATAGGGCCATAAAGCTGTGAATCATATAGTTATTTAGTATAGTTCAGACTATAGGGCTAAAATAATTGGCTAGGGCCTTAGAAATAGTCATATAAAGCTGTGAATCATATAGTTGTTCAGTATAGTTCAGATAATGGGGTCAAAATAATTAGGTATGGCCTTAGAAAAATGGCGAAAATGGTGAAAATCAGGCATTGACCCTTTTGGTTGCTATGGTCAACCAGAACTACCGCTAAACTTTATTTAGCGTAGCACCAATTTTCGTCCAAGCCAAGGCACCCTAACATTGAGCTGTAATTGGGGGATGCTGCGCATCACACCCTCGTCTTGCACTGTATTTCTCTAACGCGTCGATGCGCCCCCCTGGTCCCAGCGGCAACATAAAGCAACCCTCTTGGCCCTCCTCCCCCAATCGATATGGCCCCCGCGTCAGGCAACACGAGACATCCGAAAAGTTGGGCGCCAACGTTCGCAAGACGAGAGTAAGTCATTCACACCGGTCCTGTACTTTAACTAATTGTTATGGAGAAGCACGGCCACAAGCTATGAAGAAAGAACGACCACAACTTCATTCTCGTAAAAGCGCACGTCTCCAGGAACGAACTATATCGAGCTGATATCGCATCATTAGCTCATCTCCACTTTCTCCAAGCTTCTAAGGTGGTCATCCTGTCTTACCCAGATGCAGCCTTGATCCTCGCATTCTCTGAAACTGCAGGTGGTACCTGAAAATTGCGAAGTTATTGTTTCTGCATAATCCGCTGATGAGATAGTTTGAGCTGGTTGGAACTTACAGCCGTCAATGCAACAATATCGCAAGACGACGCCTTGTCGTTCAGCAAGTCCCGAGTTCGGGATTGGTTCGGCGATGGCCAAGATGAGGAGAGCAGGATGACTGCAAGAATGAAATTATAAAAATTTATGATGAGTAGCCAACTTGATGTTCTTGAAGTGCTGGTAGTGAGCAGGGTGTAGGAGGTGCGAGCTTGGACGAGTTGTGGATTGTGGTTGATTGGAGAGATTACCAAAATACTGTTGTGGCGACGGAAGTTTGAGAGGCCGGGAAGGAGTGGAAGGAATGTAAATCATTGCGGCTAATCCTTAACAACAAGAAAAAAGTGATAGTGAATTAGAGAAGTTTTCGAAAAGCGAATGCAGGTCAAATGATTGTGGGGAAGTAGTGAATATAGCGATTCCTGTGTGCTCTTTGTGCAATACCGATAATTATAGGCATTTAGGCGCTATGGACCATCGTATGGCCCTACCCTATCGGGGATATCTCCCAGTTCGAACCCAAGAGTCTGTGTTCTTTTATCCGCAAGGCTGGCCTCGCTGTGGTCAAACCCACCCTCGGAGAGCATGTAAAGGTTGGCAATGCTTTCTTGGAACGTGTGGAGCGTCCCTAGCAAAGTCGGCTTCATCAGAACCAGCTGGTACTCGGAGCCGCCACTTCCAGAGTGGATATCTGGGAGCATTCCATCTTCAACTGGTTGGTAACTTGGTCTCAGAAAGGGAAGATATCTGACTTACTTCGAAGTGAGCCAGCGAGTCTTTCCAGCAAAATAGTCATGTCCGCTGTCACTTTGCCTTCTATAGTCTTGCTCCATTTCACAAACTCTCCCAATTCTCTCTCGAACTGTTCTGATAACGAGAACAAATCTTTAACAGCGCCTTTGCTGTTCACGTCCAGTCGTCTTAAGGCTAATACCACTCCTTCCACTAGCCGTATCATCTCATCAATGAGTCCAAAGCGTTGCTCAGCGACTGTGACTGGATTTTCGAGCTTTTCTGTGGCAAAGGTTTTCCCGTTTGGTTGCCTCTGAAGTTGATACCCGAGTAGGTCACGCATTGAGTCAACAGCACGGAGCGCAACGAACAGATTGCCCACTTCATCTTCCATATGACTCAAATATCTGTTGAATTCCTCTTCTGGCAGCTTTTCCACTTCATGATCGACATAACTTAGATATTTGTTGACGTCTTTTTCGGGCAACGCCCCATTTCGTGGGCTGCGAAGTAAGGTGCGATAGAAGATTTCCTCTCTGATCGGACTATCAGCTTCCAAAAAGTTGGCTAGGTCATTCTGGAAGGCCAAGACAGTTGCATTCTCGGATTTCATCGCAAGTTGTATCTGTTCTGTGGAACAGTGGTGGTCAGCTCGCCTAAACTTGATTGAAACTTTAGAGTTTTGTAATCCTACCTATATCCAAGAGAATTTCAATGAATGCAGACTGGAAAACGCCACAACTCGCCCCTGGACCCGAACGACCGCTATGATCCGGATACGCAGCGAGAATTTGGACCAGCCCCAAAGGGCCATCAAAAAGACCAGTTCCCCAGATTTTGAGTCTCTCGTAAACGTGTGTGACATCTTGGCTGCCTAAAAGCTTTTCAACGATGAGAAGCCCCTGCAATGCGAACTCATAGAGTACTTTCACATGGGCCGCATTCTCCAGATCGATCTTAGATACAGGTTCCTCTAAACCAGGGGAGATCCTAGGAAGAGGGTTACGAGGTTGCTGTGAAGAGCCTAACATCTCTTCACGTGCCTGGGCAAGACTCTGTATTATGTCTTTCTGGCCATCTATGAGCTGCTGAGTCTGCCTGCGTAAGATTTCGATCTCTCTAGTAGGCTGCCGCAATGAGTCTATCGCATCGTTTAGCTGTTTGCAGAGATACAAAGTGTTCACAACCATTCTTCTCTTTGTGATCCATCTCAGAGAAATCTGAAATTCCTGAGATCGTCTGGAAGTCTTCCCTCTTTCCATGATGCGAAACGTCTCAAACATAGCCCGAAGCTCATGTAGATGTTCCATCACCATTGCTTCCGTTCTTCGGGCTGCTTCTTCATCTTCCGTTGTGTGACCGGCGTCCAGGCTTTCATGGTACCCTCTCCACCTGCTTGCACGGGCTGTTTCCGCTTCAAGAGCCATCGCCATAGTATGAATTTCTATGTGACTGCCACCCAAACGACTAGTAGTTCGAAAGAGCGATGCGATGAGCGAACTTGCCGCTAGCGCGAAACCCACGACTCCGACTGGATCCATCTTGTCTTCACTCTTAAACTAAGCGTTCCGAAACTATTCAACAGTTCAGCATAGATACCGATGAATAGCCACAGGTATCAGACGAGATAGCATGCTAAGAATGCGCACTAGTACTTGGACAAGACAATCTCAAGACTCGAGCAATGTTTGGTCATTCGTCCTCAATGACGCTGAGGCTCCTTTGAAGCACAAGCGATGAAGTGGAGAGGACGTTCATAACAACAGCTGTCACAGAAATATAAGGGGAGGAAGGGAGACAGAGACCAAGAGCTTAAAATGAGGGCTAAGACTCACAATATTGGAAGAACAGGGGTGTCTTTCACTTCCTAGCCGGACACGAGCGGGAAGGTACAGGATTCAAATCTAAATCAGGATCCCGAACAAACATAAAGCTAAAAGGATTTGTTCGAGGTTTTTCGTGCGAACTTGCCGATTCGCGAACCTGATCTCCAAGCCATTCCCTGCCTAAACTTGGGGTGGGCACGTCGACATCTCAGCCGCACATGCAGCATAGACATTCAGTGACCAATGGCAAGTCGACACATTTGCCACGTGAGGGGTTTTGAAACATGAATGAGACAATGCCCAAGGCGAGGTTATGGGCCTCACGAGGCTGTCTTCGCACGCCAGAAAATAGGAGGAAGTGCTGCTGGGAGGAAAGCTGCAGGCCCCATACAAGAACTGACAATCCCCAGCTTCACGAAGGCACAACCGCAGGCTTCTACAATTTCAAAGAGTATAGGGGCTTTCAAGCTCCTCGAACACTAGGGCTGGCTCATGCCCGCCAGACATGGCTGACCCAATCTCCCTGAGCTTGGCAGCAATTGCCCTGCTTGATCCAGCCTATAACCGCATCCGGGCGATCTGGCTTGGTTGCCGTTCTGTCGCGCGATTTGGCGTGGATTTCAATCGATTCGACACACGCGTGCGGATTCAGGAGCGTCTCTTCGAGGCATCTGTTCTCAAATACAGGGCCCACATCGAAGCGGACAAGACCGAGACACGATGGATCGATTCTGATCTCAGAAAACGAATAGAGGATCATACCTTCGAAATTGTTACGGTGTTTGAAGAATGTTATAAGCTGGTTGAGTCCTACAAATCCGAGAGTGAGCTATCTGTTCACCGCCATAGGCCACGAATGAAGCTGACCTAAACTTTAGGCATTCATGTCCCGGCTCCGGCTAATGTTGCTCTAGTCCCGGCTCCGGGCCCAGTCCCTGCTCCCGGACCAGCTACGGCCCCAGCTCCAGCACGAGCTCCACTTGCTAATCCCGGTGGTCAAGTTGCTGTGGCAGGAGCTGGGGAAGGCGTCCAGCCACAGTCACGAGTTCGACGCTTCGTCTCAAGCTTCTCAAGAAAGAAATCTAGCAAAGGAAAGGCACCGGCAGAATCAATTTCACTTGGGTCGGCACGGCCTGCGAACTTGGATCAGCTTGCATCAAGAGGGCGTGAAGAAGGGCCATCGTCATGGATCTCTGCCTCGGCTGAAAAGCGGACAAAAAAGAGACGAGAAGACGCACAGCGAGCACTGGGGTCAGTAAAGGCCGTTCAGTTCGCATCTGATCACCAAGAACAGATGGAAGCGCTGCTGGACCGCCTTGATGTCATGAACAAGGAGCTGAACGCATGCCTTCCTCAGCTCAATAACGAGAATCCGCTCCTCTTCATCCGCAACGGGGCCGACCCGCCAACAATTTGGCGAGATACAAGGCTCGTCCGAAGAGATATTAGTAGTCTGCAAGAGGCGCTCACTAGCGCCAATGCTGAGGATGAGAACTCTGCTGTGAAGCTCGCCATTCGACTGGAGGATAACCACAATGACTTGCTAGATTGGATGAGATTCAATCGTCTACACCAGAAGCTCAAAATGCGGTCGGATCCGAACTTCTTCCTTCTAATGGCGCTGTCTCGGTCAGAAATACCAAATCACATCCCCTGCCACGAGCTCCTTGTTACTGGGACGCTGTCGGATTCGCGGCCTGGGTTGGAAGTCAGCGATGGCGACATGCCATCGAAGCTTAACACGATCTTGTCCACGATGCCAGAAGGAAAGTTTCAAGAAATTGGAGATGTGAAATTAGACAAAGACAGGATCTTCCATCTCCGACGAATCATTGAGACCGACAGGCCAAAGTGGAAGGGAGTCCAAACCTTGGGTGATATCTTGGAAAAGAGCTTCGACGAGTTCTCGGTCACCGCGCGACTTTGTCTTGCCGCCACACTTGCTCTTACATACATACACTTTGAGACCGCCAACCCTGGCTTCACGCAACGGCGGGTACAGCACTATCGTTTCTTTAGCCAGAACACGGAGCTTGGGAAGGACGACTGGACACAACCATGGCTCGACAATGGGTTTGGTTCGCCGAGTCCTCCAGATGCAGGAGGTAGCCTGAAGTCCCGGAAAGAAATAGAGCAAAATAAAGTCAACTTCGCCCAGGAACTAGGCATATTGTTGTACCAAATCACCTGCCGCGACAAGATTGCTTACGAAGAGACGCCGGCGGGCCTCAGTCAAGCGAGCAAGTCAGTCTCGACTCTAGAGTTCCTGGACCAGGTGCGGGATCTTTGTGGGCTCCAAGCCAAAAATGTCATCAAGGCGTGCTTCTGCCACCTGCCGCGAAGGCCAGGTCAACGAGAGCCAGCATCTCTGATTGTGGAAGAAGTCGCATACGCGCTACAGCGACTGGCGAATGAGTACCGGAAGCAAGAAGAAGCGGAGACAGACATGGAAGCTAGATTGTCTGGAGAGACTCTTGCAGCTGAACCAGTGAACGAGCAGGGAGAGGAGAATCAGCAGGTGGAACAACAACATCAACCTCAGGAACAAGCGCTTCCACACCAAGAAATCCCTGTGGCGCCAGAAATTCCGACAGTGCATGAAGTACCTACAATTAGAGACGCAGCTGGGGAACAAGTAGCGCCTTCCAAACACGAAACTGCCGTACCAACCCAAGATGCCGTACAAATACAACCTTCCCAGCCTCCTTCGCAACAAATTATTGCTCAAGCACCGGCCCGAAATCTTACAGCCACTCCAGTTTCTCCTCCAGCGGTTCACAGCCCACGGCATACGCAACTACAGCAGGCTACTCGTAACCCGGCAGAGCAAAGCCCACAACCGTCAGCTGTGCACCATGCCAAGTCAGTTGTGTTCCCAGCTGTCCCAGAACATGTACCTCAAGCTCCAGCTACTAATGGAGCCCGGCCGGAGCCGCAGAAGATAGCTGTGGCGTCATGATTGAGTCTACGAAAGTTTCAGCGTCGTACGCAGATTTGCTATACGCAGGAAAATAGGGAGGCGCTGAGGTCACCCATTGGCCAAAACAAAGCATGATGCAATGAATGGTTCGGGAGATACACTTGTTCAAAATTCGGGTACGCCCAACTGGCTGTGAGGTGAGCTTTGTGTGTTTGCCGTTGTTCGGCCGAGTGACGGGCAATTAACGGACAGGGTCAAAACTGACTCGCACTTACGAAGTCTGCATGTTGGTCAAGTGTTAACTGAGTACATACATAATAAGATTCCATGCCCAAGTTGATAAAATAAGCACTTTTATTTCTTAAAATAAATACTATTCCTTTATTTATTAAGACATTACTATATTAGCGGCTATATATTAATATTTCTTATTTAATTAGAATATAAGAGGCTATATAAGCAAATATAAATATTAAAAATAAAAGCCAGATTTTCTTATTTTAAGAGATTATATTATAATTTTAGGCTCTTTTCTCGACTAATAAAGCTATAATATAAGAGAAAATATTCTTTTAAAAGGGGGCTTAATTTAAAGAGCAAAGTATTTATTTTAATAAAAAAAGAACTCTAAAGCCTTTTAAGGAAAAAGGAAAATAAAAGAAAATAAAAAAAGTAATTAGTTTTAGGGAAAGATTCCCTAAACTTCCCTTAAGAAAAGAAAAAAGTAAAAGAAGGCAAGAGAAGTCTTTAATCTCGGGAAGAACTCTCTAAATCCTTTCTTAGCTTTCTTTAAGTTTTTTAATTTTATAAGTTATATAATTATACTTTTTCGTAATTATATGAGTTTTTTACTATACTAGCCTATTATATATAACTAAAACCCAGCTTCTAATAGGTCTAAATCAGGCTTTTAATAATAGTTTCCTCTAATTAGACTATTTATATTTATGCGACTTCTAATACTAGTAATATCTTAATAAATAAAGAAATAATCTTTTAGTTTAATTAGTATATATATAAGCTTATTTCTATATACTATAAATAAATTCTACTTTAATAATTATTACTTATATTATAGAATTTATTTTATAAAATTAATTAATTAGATTCTTAATTTAATATTTAATAGCTATAATATAAGAAGTTATAATTAAAGTATTAAAATTATAGTTTTAATATTTCTTATATAATATTTTTTTATAAAAAAATACTTTTATAAGATATAAGGCACGTAATAATAAGGTAATATATAAGTAATTAAGATAAATAAGCTATAAAGTAATACTTATAAGTATAACTAATTTCAAGAATTAATTTTAATAAAAGACTAATTAATATTTCTTTCTAAAGCTAGAAGTATTTTCCTATATATTCCCTAGTATTTAGCTAAGTATATAAAGCCCTTTATTTAATTAAGAAATATAATCTTATATAATTTATATAATTCTAATTATAAGCTTTACCTAAAATAGAAAACTAGATCTATAATATCTAATACTTATTTATATACTATTATATATATCTATTATATTAACTCTCTCTCTAGGCCCTTATTCCTAAGAGGCTTTAGAAAACTGCAAATAGCTTTATATATATTCCCGGAAACTTTCCTGGCTCCTGGTTTTTCCTAAAGACTTTCTATATTTACTCTATTATTATATTAGATAATAGATCTAAGAATATAATTTACTAATTTTACTTAGTTAACTTATAAATTGCCTCTAGTAATTCTTTCTTATAAAGATAATATAAATATAATATATATTATTAAATATAAAATTTATCTAATTTTCTAATTAGTTTATAAATTTTATCTTAGCCTTTATTTATAAATAAATTATTGCTTTATAGGCCCAAGAGCTTAAAAAAATTAAGCTAATTTTCTGGTTTATTTATAAATTCCTTCTTTAAAATTTTCTAGATATTTCTGGTATATAACTAGTTCTAAATTCGTAATTACTATTCGGAAAAAAAGTATTATAAAAAGACTTCTTTTTTTCTATTAATTAATTTTCTTTTCCCTTAATTATAATATTATATCTAGTTCTTTCTTATTTCTTGCTTTTCTTTTCTAAGCCTTTTTTAAGCCTTTTTTAAATTTCTTTAAATTTCTTTAAGCTTCTTTTAATATTCTTTTTTACTTCTTTATTTATTAAAATAAATTCTTTCCTTAATATTTATTAGCTTATTATTAACTATTTAACTAATATTCTTATAGCCTTAATTTGCCTTTATTATTTTTAATATTTCAAGAATATTACTAAGTTTCCTAATCTTACTTATATTAAGAATAATAATTACTTAATATATAATTATTATTATTCTAAAAATAAGAAATATAATTCTATAAATTATAATTTCCTTTTTTTATTTCTTATTCTAATATTATCTAAAGTTCCTTAAATATATATAATATAATTAAATTCTTTTTTCTTTTTTCTTTACCTAAATAAAAGAAGGTTATTTCTGCCTTTTTTTTATACTAATCTTTATATATTTCTTATATTAAAGCTATTATTTAAAGCTAATAAATTCTTCTAATAATTTAAAATATAGGTTAAGTAATTCTTATTAGCTTAGTATAAATATAAAGTACTTTTAAAAATATAATTAATATTTTTTAGTATTAAATAAGCTTATTTCCTTTTTATTTCTTACTAATAGCTAATAGTTTTTTAGGCTTATTTAATATTTATTTCTCGAGAGAATTCTAATAAGAATAATAATAAAAATAAAAATAGTAAAAACTAATTATAAGAATAGAGTATTTATAAGATATAGAAATTAGAATTTTTAATAATTTTTATATAATTTCTTTAAGAATAAATATATAGTTTTTTAATAGTTTCCTAATAAAAATATTTATTTTTTATATTTCTATTTAGCTAATAGTATTATAATATTACTTTCTTCCAAATATTCTTGTAATTCTTGAGCTATATTCTTTAGATTACTTAGTAATTCTTATATATTATTTATTAGTAAATAGCTCTTTTAATAAATAAAATACTTTTTTCTCTTTCTATTTTCTTTATAGGCTATAATAAATTTTACTCTAAAAATTTTTTTGCCCTTAATCTTAACTAGTTCTGGTTCTATTATAATACAAGCCTATTAGTATTATAGTTCTAAAAAAGAAATATAAAAAATATTATAAATCTAATATAATAATAGTAATTTCAAGTAATATATTTATTTATTAGCTATTAGTATAGCTATTTCTTTAAAAGTTATATATATAGTTACGGAATTCGAAATACGGGATATAAATAATGAAATATAAAATATAGAATATAGTTATATAATCTAATATTTTATAGATAACTCAACTAATAGACTAGACCCTATTAGGTTTAGTAGATTTAGAAATCACATATTAATACTATAATACTATAATTTTTATTTCGGAATAATAACTATTTTATTAATTTATATATTAAGTATTTTATATATATTATATAATAATATTATATATTACTAATAAACTAATACTAATTAATTTATACATATAAATTAGAGAAGATTTTAGATTAGTTCTAAAAGTATTTAATAACCTAAAATAAATCTAGTCTATTTTATATTAAAAAAAGAAACTATTTATTAATTTTATAAAAGTATTTAATAGCCTATAGAAAAGATACTAGCTCTTGCTAATTAATAAGCAATTAGCTATTTGACTATTTATTTATTTAATTTCTACTATTTTTTAAAACTAACTTCTTTTGGCCCTAAAACTACCTTCTTAGAAACTATTTTTTCTACTTATATAATATTCGTATTTATAGGACCCTTTTCCGGAATATATATCCCGTATATATCCTTAAAGCTCTTTAACTACTACTTCGATTTTGCTATTTCATCGAGTTCTTTAAGCTTTAGACTCTCCCGGAATTATAATATTTCATTTCCTAAATTTCTTATTATAAATAAAATATTTAAGAACGAAATATTTATTTTAATATCCTTAATATTTCTAGATATCTGGAATATCTAGTATTTAAACTAGATATCTGGTATTTTAATTAAGTATTTAAATCAGGTATTTAATATCTTAATTAGGTATTTGAACCTGATATCTAAACCAGATATCTAAATATCTAGATACCTTTTTTACCGAATCTTTTTTATAAATCTATTATAAATTATTTTATTTTTAAATCCTTCCTGCTATAAATTATATATATATACTAGAAAGAACCTAAACTCGGTTTAATATAGATACTAATAAGAGAAAAAAGCTAATTAAGAAATAGAAAAACGGTATTAATCTAGTAACTATAATAAAGGCTAATTTTTAGAAATATTTAACTATTAAAATATATTAATATATCTTATATAAGAAAAATAATAATAATTCATAGAATCTATTTCAGGATAATTTCAAAAACTTTAATACTATAGTATATAGTCTAATTAATTATATATTTATATAAAATCTTCGAGCCTAATTTCGGTATAATAATATCTATATTAAATAGAACTATAGAAATCTTACTATTATATAATTCTTTATTAACCTTACCTAAAAGAAAACAAAAAGTATATAAAATAAAGCTAATATTATTAATAATAGTCTAATTAGAATAGATCTTTTTCAGAGACCTATTATATTAGTTTATCTTATTCTAAATAGAACTAGATATAAAAGAACCAGATACTTTTAGTCGAGAAATCAAGCTATTTATTTACTTTCTCTAAATTAAGGCTATTTACTACTTTTACCTTTACTATTACTAGTATTACTACTAAACCCGAACTTCTATTAATTAATACTTACTATTACTACTAGAAAGCTTATTAGGGAAATAGTAAAGATATATTTTAAAATATAGAAATATAATAGAACTAATAGTAGTTTTAATTATAAACTTATTATCTTTTTTAATATTTATTAATATATAGAGCTTCTAAAAGAAATACTAGAAAGAGCTTTTCCTATTATATTAAAGGAATTAGTATAAGATTACTTCTATAATAACTGGCTCTCGAGCCATATATATAAAGAAGCCTATACGAATATTTATAGCTTCTTTAAAGGCCCCGGTTTCTATTATTAAAATCTAGATAAATGAAATACTATTACCTTAGTAATTATAATAATAAAAGACCCTAAAAAGACAATATTTAAGCTTATCTAAATACTAATTAATAACCTATATAAATTATAATATAGCCTTATTCCTGTCTTATAAAGTATTGAATTCCTATATAATAAGATTATTACCTCCTATTAAGGCTTATTAGTATACTAATATATAATCTCGGATTTTTTTTAATAAACTCGGTTAGCTTATTAATAAGCTCTAATCGTCTATTACTACCTATAAAAAAAAGCAATAAATTACTACC